TTCTTTTTAGCTGAAATTTTCAGGGTATTCTAGTCACTAATAGACCCTTCTATGGGCAAAATCTCAGATCGGAATACCGTCATTCGATTTATTCATATATACCATTCCATAGGCTAAAATTTCAGTATATTGCCTATAACTCGGGACCAGGCCTGCCAAGTGTACCCCATTTTGGGGTATTGTACCCCATTTCGACACTTCGTACCTCAATAAAAAGATGTACCCGAGGGGTACACTTTTTGTACCCCATTTGTATTTTTGAGCTTTTCATATCGTAAACCGATCTTCCTTGCTTTTTCTAAGCCATTACTTCATTGTGTTATGTTATTTTTGTTATCAAAATCACGAAATAAAGTCCATGTCGAATAGATAACAGCAAAATATTATGTTGCTTTTAACGACCCCCCTGGGTCAAAAAGACTTTTTTTTTTTCAATAATATCGGTTTTGAGAGTCATTCAGATTTACATAGCCTATCATTTACACTGTCGAACAGACAATAACTTATCGGTTTTGCAGTGGTTTTTGAAGGTTTCACAGTAGGTTTTCTGAAAAACCTACATGAAACTTTCTTTTTCGAAAACTTTAATTATTGAAGCTATTTGAAGTTTTGTCGAAACTTTTTTTAATGTTTTATTTGTCAGCGCGACAAAGGTTTCTCCACCATTTTGAATGCTAGAGAATCCGAAAAGGTCTTGAAATGAAGGCAAAGCTCAGCGCTACAGCCTAACAGAGCCAGAATTTTGTTTTCCATCTAGCTGTTTATGAAAAAATCCAGTTTTCTAAAAAGTTAACCTCGATATTTTTTCCTCAAAAACCTTTCTAAAAAATCGGCTCTGTTCGGTTGTAGCGGCAAGGGTGTTTGTACATTTTGACACCATTCCGAGGTCCATATTACTGGAGTTGCGAAAAAAATCTTCGACACACGGACATCTACTTTTAATCTCTTAATATTAGGATAATCCTCGCAAAAGTCAATACTATGAGCTCAATTTTTTACCGAAAACTATCCAACGCCAGACACATATTCAATAAAAATTTCAGTAAGATTGGGTGCTCTGGAAAATAATAGATTTCTGACCCAAGGGGCCGGGCCCTTAAGGAGGATAAGTTTTCAGGTAGTTTTTTTCACCCAGTTCTTTTCTTTTAAAAAAAACTGCGTACCTCAACGGTGCACCCCATTTTAAAAAAATTTGTACCCCAATCGTACCCCATTTGAAATTCGGTGTACCACATTTAGGAGCTAGCACTTGGCAGGCCTGCTCGGGACAGAAGGCCTATGGACACTTGTCATTTTGGGGTGTTTCATACCTCACTGGGACTCACCTTATGCACCGAACCCGAATTCAAAAGTGATACTGCAGTTGGGGATGTTCCCTCGTAAGTCGTATATGGGCCTTATTTAGGCCTTCTTTGGATGACGATCGACTTACCAGAAAAGGTCAACCGATCGAGCTGAAATTTTCAGGAGTGACTATCAACTATAGGTTCTTCAATTTCTGTAAGTTTCATTGGGATTGATCGTACTTTTCCCTATTGGCCAAATTTAAAGGAAAACGTCCCGCGTCCTTTATAGGAATCAAGGCAAGATGATTTTCGGGAACATCAACTTTTTATATCATTCCCCTTCTCGCGGGAAAAAATCGGTCCCCCAGAACCGTGGTGGGTGTGCATTGATCATTCTAAACCCACACCCTCAAGATTTTTATGTGATGATACAATCATTATTTGATGTATCAGTACTTGTTGTATTCGATTGCAACGATTATTTTACCTAAAAATTGAAGGATTGATATTTAAAAACAATAGATATAGATCTTAGAATTCTGAATGCGTAAAAGTCTATCCAATTCACTGAAAAATGGAAAAGGATTGTTGAATGTATAAATAACTTTGTTTGCTTTGTACTATTGTGAAAAAGTATGAAAACAGGACTCTTTATTTTACAATAAGATTGAAGAGATGAATGACATATCCAATCACGTTAAAAATTAACTTTTTTCTAGCCGAGCAGCTGATATGGAATCAAATTATACAAAATTGTTTACTTAAACTCTTTTATTGACTAAACGTTACTTAGAACAAGACACATAAAAAATAAAGAAAGAAAGAAAGAAAGAAAGATTAGGAATAATATAAAGTCAACCTATGAATTTTCTATTTTGTGTGAAAAATGATATTAATTGAGGATCAGTAGTATTGAATGTTATCCTCAATTAAATACAAAACAAAAACGAATAATATATAAATGTTCATCGATTTGTCTTTTTTAAAATTATGGCTTTGATCGATTTTTAAGATATTCTGCAATTCGAGGTTGTTTTTCTACTTCTGCACGATTTTGTTTTAAGAATAAATGATTATCTAAAATACTTCTATCTGATTTAAAAAGAATTTCTATAATTTCATAAAATGCTAAATCTGCCCATGTTAAATTATTTCCAACAAGGAATGGACCGTTGTTACCATATTGTTTAGCTAAAACTTCGACATTTTGTAAATATCTTGGTAACTCATTTATATAGAAACTTTTCACAAGTTCTAGTCGTTTTCTTGGATCATTTTCATGTCGAAATGACAAAAACTGTTTCATTAAATCCATAAGTGTATTAACAATGGCAATAACTGTCGCTTGTTCAATATTATCTTTACCAGCTAATTGAAATCGTTTAGCAAGAAAACAACAAATAGATACTGATTGTGGTAATTTAACACCATCAATTTCCAGAATAGACTTTGATTTTAAAAGCGTTCCATTTTTGTTCGATGTCCATTTTCTGAGTTCATAACGAATATCTTCAAATTTTCGATCAGCAGCAATAAACATTAAAGGAATAATTTCAGTACGTCTATTAAGATGATAGAGTTTGTATGTCGACATTGATGGTAGTTAGTTGTAAGAACGATTATTAATGAAATAAGAAAAAGGATGAATATTGTGTCCAAAGTAATATTTAAATGAGAAAATAAATAATATCACATGTATGTATATCTAGTGAGTTTCTCTTACTTTTATCTTCCTCGCTATTCGTATCGGGCGTCGTCTATTCTCTACATATGAGTAAACGTACTTTTCTTTTTTTTCTAATACTTGTCTTCAAAATATAAACTCAAATCGAATATGCTTTGTCGTTACGAACGCTTATGGAGAAAAACGGAAGTATATGACTACCGTATACTCAATCTTAGAAAATCGTAGTGAAATAAGATTTGAATAGATTTATATTTTTTAGTATTTACATTTTCATTATCATAATTCGATATTATTTATTTTTATTAGTGTCG